CAGTGAAGGTATCTTGCAAAACCAAGCTACTTCAGGAACCTTCTCTCCTTTAGATCTACTTGAACACACTGACTTATCTGATGTAAAGATACTGTTTTCCAACACTAAGGGGCACTGGCAAAGATAATAATTTACATAAAATAATCCCTACTTCTAGCAAAAATTTAAGAAAAAATAAATACATGACTAAGCTTGCTATACTAAAGTGTCATATTCTTTGCATGTTAGTTTAGCTCTAGTTCAGCTTTAAGCACAATGYTAAGAAACATCTTATCTTTGCAGCCATTTTCCTAAATTCATTTGTCAGCTGGGAAAGGTTAATATCATACATGCAGCTTGTACAGAATTTTAAATGTTTTCAGCCCCCTATGAGTTTAGGCACAGATCAACAAAGGCAACATTCAATCCTATTTGTGTTTTGGTGGTAGGGTAGCTATTGGCTACAATTATATAACAAAACCACTTGTCATGGCTTAAAATGCAACCTATGCAGTAAGTTTGTAAGATAGACCCTGGGGGGCATTACTCTAGTTGTTTATTTTGTACAAGTTAAATAGATTTTTCCTTCTCTRTCTTTAGGATTGGTTTTGTATGTTTGCACAATATGCAAAAATGTCAGATCAGATATCAAACAATACAATTATAACAGGATTTATTCAGGTATCAAAGATCTCTAGTTTCTGTTGTTGTTACTATTATTACTGTTATTATTATCTGTTAACCCTGTACTATGTGTTGGATAAGTGAACACATAAGTAGGTTTAACACTTTTAACTATACTACTTACTAGTGGTTAGAGTAGTACCCTTCTGCAGCAACTAACCACCACATTTTAAAAAGAAGCAATTGACTGTTCTGAACATTTAATGGTACTGTTTGCTGTAGGAATTAAAGTAGAAATGTAACTTAAGAAATTTAATACTTTAATTGAAGTGTTGGGGGGTTTGTTGGGGTTTTTTAGTTGCTGCTTGCTTTGCAATTTTTTAAAGAAAGTACAGCAGTACAACAAAAATTAAAATTTAGTTATTCCTTTTCCTCTGGTTTCTACTACACAGTGCACCACTAATCAACTATGCTAATTAATGAAGCTGCATGAGAGGGTGGGTGATCAGTCACTGGAACAGGCTCCTTGAAGCAGTCATCAGGGCATCAATCATCAGGCATAAAGGCTGTCAGTGTTCAAGGAGCATTTGGAAAAGGCTCTTAGTCCCCTGTTTTAGTTTTGAGAAGTCATGTAAGCAGCTGAACTCAACGATCCTTATGTGTCTCTTTAACCTAAGACATTCAACTATTCTATGTATAACAAACCAGGATGCAACTGCCATACCTTACCACAAAGGCTGTTTTTTCTGTTACAGTTAGAGTTTCCTAAATAAATAATACCTACAAYTATTTATTAAATATTAATTAATAATTGGTTATTAATAATAATTGTCAGTAKGAATTAATAATTAACTATTAAATAATAAGCTATCTAGAGGTTCTGCCACATACTTTATTTACTAAGTAAGTCCATTACTCTACAGTGTGCTAACTTCCTGGCAACTAGAACAGGTAAAACCCCTACAATTTCATCCAAGAGCTCAAAGGGAAAGATAAGGTAGTAAAAAAAAAAAGGAAGGGTAGATTTCATTGATTATACATGCTGGGAAAAAGGGTGTTAGATAACATTTGAAACCATGATACAGAAGGACTCTGAATGAAAGTTGTAAAGTACTTCCACAGGCAGTTCAGAGGCAATAACTTTTCTATTGAAAGTAAGCTGATAATTCAAGGTGGGACTCAAGGACAACTTAATCAGTCTCAATTATGTTACAGTGGGGGGGAGATATAATAACAGTCGATCAGACTCGCACAGCCAAGCATTAGCCAGTAAAGTACAGGATGCAGATTCAACAGGGTAGCACTTGTATTGTTTCCAAAATCAAGAACCTTGTAAACACCTCAGACCTCTTTTAACGGTTTTATGCTCACAAAGATTTCGGAAATCTATCGGAAGATATCCCACCTTCCTTCATCAGAAGCAAGCACGTCAGTTACAGAAAGCAAGTGCATGGCATATTACATCAGATTGTTTAATGCTCAGTTTTTCTCATAATTTATTGATCAATAATATTTGTTCAATAAAATCAAAGGGGTTTAGCTGAAAACTTCCAAAAATAGTCATGTTTTCAGACATTATTTGTTGTGAAAACGTTTTGCAAAACCTGAAGCTTCAAATTCTAAAATACGCAACTATGGTTGCACTTAAAAAAATAGTAATAATATTAGTAATAATAAAGGAAGTATTTCTGTATTGACATATTTCTGTAGCTTCTCGAAATACATATGTTATTAAATTGATTGCCCTCCATGAACACTGTGTGCCACATTAAAAATTCCATAAGAAAATTAAAGGGGTTCTTATTTCTCATGTAGGTTGACATCAGTATGACCTTTAGTCTCATTCAGAAGATTTACAGTAGACAGGTTTGGCAGAATGAATCTAATTTGTGTGTGCCTTATATCATTCTTTCCCCCCARTTACTCCAAATTCCTTGAAACATTTAGGAATCTTGGAAAAGTCCAAGCAGTCTCCTGCCTGCCTTTTTGCCTCCCAAGAGTCACTACTCATCATGAAATTAACACCAAAAATGTTAAAGGTGTCACAGTATTCAGAGGCTGAAACATACCRAAGTCCTCTGAAATGAACAGTACATTATAAAAATCACCAAGGTACCGTCTCTTTTATTTCTCTATACTGGAATATACTTGAAGAGTATTTTCAGTTTAATTCCTTGTAGCTGAAAGATTTCTGAAATACAATACACATTTTATATGCAATGTTTTAAAAGAGAACAAATCACATACGTGTAGCATAACAATAACTCAAAGAATGGAAACACAAAACAACTAATATTGATCAGCATACAGAATGCCTCATATAAAGGGATAAAAATTAATTATATCAGCATGCATAAACACTTGTTATGTTTCATATTTACGCACACAAAACCCCCCAAGTAACCTGTCTATTATTTTACTGCAATCAGATAGTGGCGAAGTATTTATCTAGAGCTATATTTTACAACAGATAAATTTAATGACAGCAAGGAAAAGCTTTATATCTAAAGTGTCTCAAACYTGCCAAACTTAGGTCCAACAATTATGGATCATTAAAAATTACTTTCGCAGWAGGAGGCACAGTCCATAATTTGGAATATTTTTTATGGTTCTTCATTGTATGAACCCCAGGGGTTTGGGGAACTAAACAAGACTCAGAACCTCAATCTGTATTGGTTTTGCCYATTTGGTACACTATATAAAAGCAATTTCTAAATAGAGACATGTGAGCATTTGAGAAAAAAACATCTTTTTTGTTCCTACAATAYGGTCCAAAGCTAAAGCACCTGTCCTGTAAAAACTTGTACACGAGAAATTCATTTGAAGCCCTGGGACAGAGTTCAAGTTCAGGTTGAATAAGGCCTTGAGCAACATGRTCTAGTGGAACGTGTCTTGAACCATGGCAGAGGGGCTGGGACTAGATGATCTTTGAGGTCCATCCCAAGCCCTTTAACATTCTATAAGTCTATAAAAGGGATATGGAAATCTTACATACCCATAACAGTGACTAAATACTCATACTAATACAGCTTACCAATACTGTCCTGTTAAGGTGCATACTGTCTGTGTGAAGATTTCTGACAAAGCACAGTAGTAACTAAAAAGCCTTTCTTCTAAGGAAACTTCTACAAATGAAATTAAAATAACTGGTTCTGGGTTACAGGATTACACACATTCACGCATATATATATATATATATACACGCACACATATATGTATAGTGTATATACATTTATATATATAAAGATATATCTCCCTAGGCTATTCGAAACTCCAGTATGAAACTAAACAAATGAAACTAAAATAAGTCAATTCCTGTTTTGTATAGCATAGTCTTTTTTGTTTTAAAAGATCACTTTCACCTGTTTTAGGCCTGAAGGAGGAAAAAAGTGCACATTTCTTGGAAACAGTAATTCATCAGACTTCACAGCAGTCTTCCCAGAAACTGCAACAATTTGGGGGTTTGCAGAAAGAAGGAACACAGCTCAAGTTCACACCTTTCAAGACTTCACCTACATCCAAAAACTGCTTCCCATGTGATAACTCACATGGACTATTTAAAAAACTAAGTCACATACCAAAATATTCCATTATTACTCAGCAGAAGGTCCTGATTCAGCAAACAGTTAAGGGCAGACTTTAAAACTGTCCTAGTTATAGCGACTATTCAAATTTCAAGATCCAATCGAGCTGTAGCACGGGAGGCATCAGCCTACAGAAATAACCTTGCAAAGCAGGAAGTCTAGTGATAAAAAACTGAAAGAGGACTACCACTGCGGTTTCCAGACTTTTCAATTCTAAGCTATTGGAAATCTGCCTAGCTCTGCCTGCCCTCGGGACCCCCAGCCCCGGGTCAGGGGCAGTGCGCGGCCCGGGGGTCCCTCCCTGATATCCCTCAGATTTCCCAGGATATYTGATCTCTTCCACAGCCCCTTTCCCTGCCTTTCACCCCAACCCTCCCATCACCGTTCTCCCCACAGCCACCCAACCTCGCTCAGCCCTCCCACAAACAGAGCAAGCGTCCTGTTTACGCTCAGCCCCGCGTCTTTTACTTTAAGGCGAAATCCACCCCCGAAAGGCAACGGGTAGCGGAAGGAGGAGAAGGAATTAATTCGTTTCCTGTTGCTTTGATCCGCTCATTCTGGTTTCAGCAGCGCCGCCCGGGGCGTTCTGGCGGCTCGCCCGGAGCGAGGAGGCCTTGAATGAGCGGCCGCAGCAGGGGCGGCTCAGGCCGCGGGAGGCGGGGGTGGAAGGGAAGGGAAAGGAAAGGAGGCTGACCGCCGCCAGCTGCGGGCCCTCGCTGTCCGGGCCGGGCCGGGCCTGGCGGTGCGGTGGGGACCACAGCGCGGGGCGGAGGGGGCGCCGCCGTGGAGGGGAGAGGGGTGCAAGCTACGCACCCAGCAGCAGCCCGTCCATGTCAAAGATCAGGTGAGTGACCGGGCGCAGCGCGGCCGCCGAGGAGGAGGAGGAGGAGGAGGAAGCGGCCATGGCGAGGCAGAGCACCCGGAGCTCGGCAGGAGCCGCCGCGCATGGAGATGCCGCGGGGAGAGTCGGGCCGGGCCGGGCGCGGCGCGGGGAGGTCGGGCCGGGCGCCGTTGGAGCAGCGCTGTGGGCGGGCCGGGCCAGCGGCACCTTTCGCTTTGCTGTTCTGCTTCTAAAGCCAAGTACATTTCTCTTGTTGGAGCCTCTTCCCTTGCAGAACAGCGCTTCTTGCCCAGAGAGCTTGTGGAGTCTCCCTCACTGGAAATATTCAAGGACCATGTGGATGCAATTTTGTGCAATGTGCTCTGGCTTGAMCCTGCTTTGGCAGGGAGGTTGGACCAGATGACCCATGGTGGTCCCTTCCAGCCCGACCTAGTCTGTGATTCGTAAATCCCGTTTGCTGCTGCTGGCGGGAAACACAGAAGAGTTGCTCTCAAGTTGATGTTGTGTATAATGTCTCTTCTCTTGCCTGCTTGGAGATTTACAGGCGTAATATTACGACCAGGTTGTAGCTGAAACCGTAAACAAAAAGTTGTAAATCTGTGTAAAACTGTGAGGGAAGACGAAAGTAATGGGGAAAAAAACTCTGAGGAAAGAGCAGACCCATCTCTTACGGGTTGCTGAGTGCAAGAGTAGTTGATTGAAGGCTGTTTTGGGTGGTGGTTTTTTTTTGGTTTTTTTTTTTGTTTGTTTTTTTTTTTTTTTTCTGAAACGTTCAAGAAGTTCTGAAGCTCAAGAAAGAAGACTCCTTGAGTTGAATCAAAATCTTCCTGCATGGACACATCATCCGATTTTGCCTGGCAGTTGGGAGGGAAAGGGGAAACTTACCTCATCAGTTTTCCCTTTTGTATTTTTTCATGCAGGTAACTCTCCAGTGGGCATCAAGATCGTTGAACCACCAGTTGCAGAGGCAAACATGAAAAGASCTATATCATGCTCACAAGGTGACATACTAGTTTGAAGATCTGTACTGCTCTGCCATTCTGTGTGAAGGCAGTGGTTAGTTGCAGTTTCACAGAGGGGAAAGAGGGGGAGTCCTGTCTCATTTGTAGGTAGGCCTTGCAGCAATTCTTTTTTCCTACCAGTGCCTTCATTTGAATTGGCAATGCTTCACCATTTTAGCAAGTTAGTGGGGTTTTTTAAAACCTTAACTGTAGGTATCATACAGCTATATTTGAATTTTAATTTAGCCTCTTCAAGCATTTTACCTATCCCCAAAACATATTCCTTGAAAGTACATTCACCCTACATTTGTGAGACATGTAGACAGAATCCTTCTCACACCTCCTATTCTGGAAATAAGAAGACAAAACAACTTTGGTCTTTACTTGTACATTTTGAATAATAAAATTTGACTTTCAAACAAAGTTTTTTGAGTTTGGTTGGCTTTCTCTTCATTTTGTCTCATTCTGTAATGATAATGCTGCTAAGGCCCTGTCTGTTYAGACTAAATGTCTTTTAAAAATTCCATGTATTGTCACGACATGCATCTATTAGTTCCTGCGTAGGTTTAAGAAAATGGTTCCTGAGTTTTTGGATCTTTTTTTTTTGTAACCTTACAATATATGAGTATTAAAAAGGCCCATGGCTGTTTTGTTTCTGCAATAAACACTGCAGCAAGTCAGTACTCCAGTGTTGTTTCCAGCAAATGTTCATGGTTTCTTTTGTAGCTCACTTAGGTGGGAGCATAGCTAGAATCATTAGAAAGGTTAAATCCTAAATGCAGCATGCCAAAAAAAACATATTAACCTGTTATAGGGAATTAAAAAAAGTAGTAATCTGAATATTTACAATGGTAGCATTGTATGCTTTTGCTGTATGAGAATATGCTGTTGTGACAAATTTAAAGAGGATGGTAATAGTGTTTTATGACAGWTGTACCTGAGGTAGATTTATCAACTTACTAATCAAAAGATATTCTAAGAAGCTGGTTTTTAATTGTGTGTATGGTAGCATAGTAAAACTTTTATTTGTTAMTCAACGGTTATAGCTTTTTCTTGTTACCTTGATTTATTGTTCTAATTAGAAAAGAGTAAAAATATTTGATTACAACTTTCATCTCCTTAGCCTCCTAAAAAGGGGAGAAAACCACCATTTTTAGCATAAAAATTACTAGTTCATCTGAAAAAACAAGGATTTTTCAAAACCTTGGAGTATTTAAAGTGGAAATAAGTCATAGGCAACCTCTATGAAAGTATCCCACAGATAAAGTGTAATACAGAAGCTGAACATTTTTAGCGTTAAATGGCCTATGTTACAAATCCTATGGTACACATTTCAAGACTGTCACATTGCCTAACAGGCTGATGACCTCAATTTTCTTTGCTTTACCCTGGCTCATCTGTGATAATCAGTGTGATGTTAGCTTACTTGATTCTTCAMAGCTGTGTTCAAATACAGGAAAACCTTCTCAAGATAGACAACTGTTTAGGTTTATTCTGCGTGGCTAAGTCTTTTTGCCAACAGAATAAAATGAAGTAAAAGTCCAAGCAACTTTTAATCCATGGTGGAGCATAGTTTTCTAGACACATAAGTAAGAGAATGTCCTGATCAAAGTTTTGTTGGAAGTATCTTAACTATTTGTATCAGCAGTAATATTGGTTTTGTGGTTGTTTTGGGGKTTTTTTTGGAAGGGAGTGAAAARAATTTGAGAATTGTGCAATTGATTTTATTGTTTGCTACTATTTTATTACTTACTTGAAGCTTTCTTTGCATTATAACAACTTGAATAACTTCAGAGTTGTGGGAAGCATATTGTAGTTGAGGTGCAGTAACTGTGAACACCCATAATTAATTATGTTCTTACAAACACGATGTGTACTTATTGAGAAGAATCAACTTGGATAACTAAGCTATAATTCTGCAACTAGACTTGAATACTGAAAAGTCTGAAGAACRTAATTAACTTCATGTACATTTTAAAAATTGAAGTTTCTATCTGGGCATACACCAAAGTAGATATATGGAGTTAAATGGTACATATATATCTGGATGTCCAGGTTTTTAAACAACTGTAAATTAACTACCTGTAGTTAGCCTTCTTACCCCAGACAAATCTATTTTCTCTAATTTTGTAATAATAATGTTAAAATCACATTGGTTTTATTGTTCTTGAATGTGRGATAAAGTGAAAATACTCAGGTGGCATGAGGTTATTAACTATGCAATACATTGCTTTGCATACTCAGTGCTCTTAACCATTTTTAAACTTCTATATTTGTTTGGGTTTTCTTTACTTTGAAGCTGAAAATTTTGTACTACACAGAAATTTATGTGACTAAATTCTTTCCTGGAGAGTAAAAGCTTCGGAATATGCTTAAGTGTTTTCTTAGGTAATACATATGATTCAATAATTGCAGTTTCCTATTTCACTATTTCATATTGTGCTCGAAGCATGGGTTACCTGATTTTTTATGCCCTTGATAGGARCATCATGCACTGTGTTTCACAAATAAATGACTGACTATTATTCTTTTTCTGCAGGAACCTTGACAAAGAGGATAAGCAGATTATAATCCCTTTTGGTTTGAATATTAAAAAATAATTAAAAGACTTGAAGAAATCAAATAATTTAAAAGCTTTCATAATGATTTACATGAACAGCTGTTAAACCTGCTATTAGTAACAAATTACTTGGAATGATTTAGAATTCAATGTAATTTCAGGTATCAGCAGAGATTCACAACAGTTGATATTGTTAAGCTATAAGACTTACAGCACTGACAAGGGTTTCATTTTCTTATGTCAGCAAACATGAGCTTTTCACCTTAAGATTATGAATTAGGTGAATTGTATTGTTTCAGTTTGTGTTTTTGTAGGTACAAAACGGAAAAAGAACATATGTCTTAAAGCAAAGCAATGAAATAATACTCAACTCCTAATCTAGCTCATGTTTTATTGATTATGTAAATTAAAGGGGAGTATATCCATTTTAATCAATCATATATGTCTTCTTTCAGCCAAGTAAGCAGGGACAGGAGAGTCATCTGTTTTCTAGATTTTGGTATTGACCAACRGTTACAGGTTAATGTGTTAGTTACAAAGGCAGGAAAGATGATGTGTTGCGCTACAGGAGAAGGAAGTGAAGATACAAGTTCGTCATCCAAAAATTTAGGTGAGGCACTATGAAAAATTTCTTAAGCAGCAAGGAGGGGTGAAATTCTAGAAAAGCTAACCAAGCACACAAGAAGGAACAAGGGAATTCTGATTTGATATTTTTAGATGTCAATTGCTGTATTTATTGATGGGATTGTACAACAGAACAAAGTTTCTGAGTCTGGGAAAGGAAGCCTTAATAACATGCTTTAGGGCCATTTTTGCTTCTCTTGAGGTCACTGAGAACCATTTACTCTTTATGGATTGTGACTTAGCTTGTTGATATACTTTTTGGTCTTCTAATAAAATACTGGCTGCACACAGGCAAGCTGTTCAGGTGATTAGCAGTGTCATTGTAATGAAAATCCTGAAGTCCTTAGTGGCTGGGTCCTGCTTAGCCTTAAACTATCAGAAAGATTAGGACAGAAGAGATTGCATCCCCAGATAAGATATGAAGTGTTGTATCCTGCTTTACTTTTCCTGTGATACAGGCTTGCTGTGTGATTTTCATTTATTTATTTAACTTCCCATTGTTGCAGAAACCTAAAATATTTGTTATGAACTTAGTTTTCTTTTTTCTCTGCACGTGAATT